TGCTCATATAAGTGACTCGCTTGGTGGTAATCTGCCAGTTCCATACAATCAACAACGTTAGCAGCACATACTCTGAAGTGAAAAAGAAAAGATTTATACAAAGAAAAAAACAAAAATTCTACCTTGATATCAAATCTTGCTCGCACATAGTTTTTAGAGCCGGGATATTGTACTTTTCTGCTAATTGCATTACATCCGAAGCATCCTTAATTCGTGCAAATATATACACCGAAACAAAAGATCAATTTTGTAGACCGGAAATTACCTCGAGTTCCAGCTCAGGCGGAGATATCGATCCCGTATAGATAAATGTCAGCATGATTTTTACAGCAGAGTGCGAAAATTCTTCAATTATTATGGTATTGGTCTGAAAAAAAGGAACATTATTTGAATCAACCTAATCAACCAAAAGCCTTGTATTACCTTGCTCTCCTCCATATCATGTTCCAGCATGGCACGAAATACATCAGAATGTGTGATAAGTTTATATTTATGCACTGCATAGGTTACCCGATCATCTTCTGGTCCGACTGCTACAGTCAAATCCGAGTAAGGTGCACATTCTTCACCAGTAAACATGGCTAATTCTAGAAAATTCACAAGTACACCATTATCAGCCTAGGGTGAAAAAAAAGTTGTTACCATTTTGCATATGTGCTCTCGACACCTCGGCCATATCAGTGATGACCAAAGCACTAGGCTCAATTCTTCGGCAAGGTATACGTCCTGCGTCAGGTAACAGCTCTATTGTGCACGAAATCACCAACGAGTGGTCTGCGCGAATGCTATTTTGAACCTAGAAAAAAGCGAAATTACTGGTTTTTGAGTTTCAAACAAATGCTCGTGCGCAGAATTAGAATAAATATGCGACTTTGATCAATTTACTGGGGTTATACACTTAAAAACGATATGAAAGACTGCAGAAAAATTCTTTGTTATCTCCCACATAGCCAGAAAAGTGCTTCATGTATGTTGCTACGCATTAGAAATAGTTTAAACTAATGTGCAAAATGTTTCGTTTTCTA